GGAAGAATCCCATGTACAGTTACAGGCTGGAGGCTGATAGGCTGGGCAGCAGCTCTGCAGAAAAGGACCTAGGGGTTACAGTGGACAAGAAGCTGAATATGAGCCAACAGTGTCCTCTAGTTGCCAAAAGGCTAACAGCATACTGGGTTACACAGATAGGAGTGCTGCCAGCACGTTAAGGTAAGTGATTATTCCTTTTTAGTCAGCATGGGTGAGGCTACATCTGGAATACTGTGTTCAGTTTTGCACCCTCCCCACTCCCCCACCCCCCAGAAAGAATGAGGGCAAATTGGAGAGTCCAGCGGAGGGCAACAAAAATGGTGAGGGGGCTGGGGAACATGACTTATGAGGAGGGGCTGGGGGAACTGGGCTTATTTCGTCTAGAGAAGAGAAGACTGAGGGGGGATTTAATAGTGGCCTTCAACTATCTGAGAGGGGGTTTGAAAGAGGATCAAGTTAGACTCTTCTCAGTGGTGGCAGATGACAGAACAAGGAGCAATAGTCTCTAGTTGCAGCAAGGGAAGTTTAGGTTAGGTATTAGGAAGAATTTTCTGATGAGGATGATAGTAAACCACCAGAACAGGTTACCCAGAAAGGTTGTGAAATCTTTATCCTTGGAGGTTTTTAAGACCCAGCTAGATAAAGACTTAGCTGGGGTGATCTAGTTGGGGATGGTCTTGCTTTGAGCCAAAGGTTGGACTAGATGACTTCCTGAAGTCTCTTCCAACCCTAATTTTCTATGATTCTATGATTCTATTATTCTATGATTCTACAACATTGAAAACTATATCATAACGTATATTCAGAAAGTGGATACATTAAGGTTGCTTATACAACCTCAGTTATAGCAGTTCCCAAACAGAAGTATAACAAATAATTTTTGCACCCTGTGTAGACAACAGCCATCAGTCTTCTGCCCCCTCTCAATTGGAACCCAAGCCTGGCACCCTGGACACTCATACCTAGTTATGCTATTGTTCTAATTCAGAGTGGTTCACTTCCAATGGTAATATTCTTTTCCTGTGCTTTCTTGCTTTTTGTTTATAATGAATTATCAGTTGTCAAGGGAAGAGAGTAAAGAAACTGACTCACGTTAGAGCTTCAGAGTAATTATAATGAGGTAAGACTCCCAGAAATTTCTGTACTTCATCCATCACAGTAGCTGGATCACTTCTTAGCTGCTGTCCATCGATAATTAGCAACTGTGTAAGAATCAATATATTATCAATTTAAGAACAAAATTCAGACCAATAAACTAAACTACATCATTTGCTCTCTATAGCAGAATTAGTGATGGGTGGATTTGAAGTTTCTGATATGTTATCAATAACAGTCAAGCAACTTAACTCTGTTTAGGTTTAATTGTTTGTCATGTAGAATCATGTTGTCCCTATTTAGATTTGCATATAACAACTGAAAGAAACTGCTTTGGCATATAATTTTCTGTCCCAAAACAGTTTAAAAAATAAAATAAAAATGTCACAGATGTTTCAGGATACTGGGAAGCCAGATGAAAGAAAAGATGATAAAAATGTTCAAAAGCATTAAAATACAATTGAACAAAAGGTCACATTGAGGATTGAGAGAGAAGTAAGCACATAAGTATTCTATAATGAAATGGTAAGCACTGTACAGATGTAATAGAATGATAGTTCATTTGATAATTGCACACTGATTGTTTTACGAAGGGACCTTGCACACTTTGTTAGCAGAAACAGGTATGAGGATGTGGGCAGTGGGGTTCCGCAGGGCTCAGTCCTCGGGCCCGCGCTGTTCAAGATCTTCATCAGTGATTTGGACGAGGGGGTAAAAAGCACCCTGTTCAAATTTGCTGATGACACTAAGATGTGGGGGGATGTGGGCACACTAGAAGGAAGCAACAGGCTACAATCTGACCTAGACAGGTTACAAGGGTGGGCAGATGAGAATAGGATGGGTTTCAACACAGACAAGTGCAAGGTGCTGCACCTGGGGAGGAACAACCAGCACCAT